ACTTCAAATTGATTCAAATGTCATCCTAGTTACCGCAAGTTAAGAAAAAACCCTTTTTTTAAGGGTTCTTTAGATTTATCTAGCATTTAACCCTCAAGAAATTTCATTAATTTTGAAAATCTCCCTCGAATTCCTCCGGCTGGGTTGGTTCACCTACTACCATACCTATTTTGCAGGAATTATTCTTGGTCATCATGTCCAAGGGAAGTCCTCAAAACTCAACTAGCTGGAAATCAAAATCGCTAATAATGCTCTGTGGTTGATACATCTTCAACACCAGTAGTGCCCCCGTGACATACCATGGGCCTTCAATCAAAATCTTATCTCTATCCTCCTCCTTAAACATAAACATATACGTGTTTCTCTCCGAATAAGTGATTGAAAAACCCTTAGACGTCTTCTAGGAACTCTGTAACACATTGCACACTCCCTGTTTGTGTTAGGGTTGTGTGACGACCCGTATATTAATTAATTATTGACACGCTAATTAAGTCATTAATTAGGATTCTATATAATTGAGATTTATTTATTTATTTGAACAAATGGATCTCAAATATAGATTCTTCATGCGAAAACGAGTCAAATAACTATAATATAGGTCAAATTTTATGATCATATAATAAACAAACATATCTATAAATATCTATATATATATATTTATATTTGTGTATGTCTGTGAAAGGACAATGTCCAGTGCAAAGATTGTGAAAACGTGCACTAAGGGAAAAAAAAAGTATGGCAAAGGAATGGACGGCTGTCCAAGTGAAGCCATTAACATGGCGTCAGCCATGACATCAGGGGGCAAGGGCTTTGGCTATAAATAGCCAAGCCCAGGAAAAAGAGAGAAAAAGAGGAAGAAAGGAAGGGAGAAAGAGAGGAAAGAGAGAGAAGGGGGTCAAAAAATTTGTTGACCTAAAAGTTTGCGGTTGCGATCAAAATTTTGGGTAAGATTTTCTTTAGTTATTATTTAGTAAATTCTATAGGTTCGAGTCACTTAAAGTTGATCCTCATTAAATATTTTAGATCAAATTTAAGTATCATTATTTTTCGTTAGTTATTCTAAAAATTATTTTAGCTTAACTAATCTCTTATTACCTATTGTTATTCTAAAATATTTATTTTGATTGTTTTGTCACAGTATTCGGTATCGAGTAGAAGTCAAGGTAGAGATAGGGTTTCTTTTATTTTTTACTATTATTGATGCATTTCGTGTATATTTGGGGGTTTCATATCAAATCTATTTTTTAATTATATAATATAATATTGTATCGCTATAATCATGGGGTCAAACTGAGATTTTATAAATAAATCGTGATCATGCACATGTTATATTTTTATCGAGACCCTAATTATCTTATGAAACCATGTTGCATAATAAATGTTTTTTTTAGTATTAATATTTAATGTTTGATTTGCGGTGAGGTCTGACTACGATATGACTTCATTTTGTGATTTTGATAAAATTACTATGAATGTACATAATCGAGGGAAAAGGGATTAGCAGATGCGTGATCCTGACAAGGATTCACATGATTCTTACTAGTCATTGGGTTCATTGGTTAGTAATATCGGTTGTCGTGGTAGCCTGTGTGGTACCACATAATTTTTGGTATTGGTGTTTCTAGAAAAATAAGAAGGGCATTGGATTCCCTAGGGTGCAAGACCCCAAAATTTTCTTCGAAGGTGGTTCATGCATGGATCAGAGAATTGACGGATTGATATGATCGATATGTGCTAAAATTTATTTATTTATTTGATTCATTACTTTGCCCTATTCCTGCATTTATCTATTGTTCAATTATATTATGCATTGTTTTAACCTTGGTAGTTATTGATAAACATTATCCTACTGAGCTGGTGAGCTCACCCCTATCTAACATTTTTCAGAAATATTAAGTCGGGCCGGATGATAGGCTGAAAGGTCGATGAATAGAGTCTGCTATTATTATTCCTATTTATGTTGTATCAAGAATATTTGAAATGATATTGTGAGAATTATGTACTCGTATGCGAAATATAATAATACAAGGAAGGTTATCGTAGGTTCGATGTGATTTTATTCCTTAATCACGCCCGAGTATTTTTTTTAAAAGAAAAAATTCGGGGCGTGACAAGTTGAGTCTGTGAAGAAACGACTACTTGACAAAAATTTTCGACATTCTTTCAAGTTGAGGGGTTTGAATAAAGCGAGATACGTGGGTGGCGGATAGGATGGGAATCAACTTATGTATCTTTTTCCATGATAAAGCCTGTTAATAGGAAAATTTGTCAAAGAAAACAATATGAAAGAAGAAATCCGCAAACTAGAATCGAAAAGGGGAAAAGAAGACAGAGGATGAAAGATTTTGTGGGTTTTGGTGTACAATAGATGAATCGAATAAAAGGGAAATTAAGAGGAAACTTAGGGCTCAACAGAGCACATTCTTACTACTAAAATAGAGAGAAAACTAGAGGGAATAACAATAAAAAACAATCACCGAGGGAGGAGGGAAGTTCCATAAATGGCGGGAGGATAAGATATAAAGAAAACAGAGAAACTGAGAGGGTTAAGGTTAGAGAGTGGTAGGGAAGGGAAGGTGGAGAGGTATGACTGACGGAATCGAAGCGTTCGCTCGTCTTAGGGTTTTCCGATGAAACTCTCTACTTTGGAAAACTAAAGGCTAAGGGGATATTCAAACGACAAAGAACAAATGAGGAGAATCCTCAGGGAAAATCCTAACTAGGGTGACAAGCTCTCATTTCGAGAGGGATCCCAAGATGGAGTAAAAATGACTTTAATCCTTCAAAACACCCAACTATAAGGGCATTATGGCAGGGCGCCATTCAAAAAACCCAATTAAAACCCACAACAGCTTTAGACGCCCATGAACAAGCAACAACCACCAAATAAATGGCTTTATAAATAACACTTCTCCTTCAAGCTCAGACTTGTTGCCACTGCCCAGAATCGCAAACCATCAGCCACAATAGTAACTCTGACTAAGCATCATAAGCAGAAGCAACCAACACCAGCAGATCTTGCATAAGTATTAAGGAGAAGTCTTGCCATAACAAGAAGATCCTCTTGTGATATAACAATGCTTCCAAATGAAATTATTCACTCTATTCAATTTCATCTTGAAATTAAAGATGGAGAAAATGAATCAAGACCCACAAAGAAAATCAAATTCTTTTCCAATTCCAATTCCAATTTCAACACAATCCCAAAATAAATACACACACCAACACAAACACAATACACACACATACCCACACACTATTAACACATAGACCCAACCATCTGTAACAGATTAGCAACCAATAGCAATGGGAACAATAATCAAACATAGCATGCACAAATTTTCATATGGAAACAATTTGTTCACTTACACAATTAATCAAACATATTATGCTCAATATTCTAAACAACATACATACACTCAATCAAAAGAATTACACGAATCAAAGGCAAAGAAAATCCCAAATTATACCACAATTAGAAGCCTTTAATCCTTCAAAACACTCAAAAAATAGAACCAACTCTCCTTTAGGGATCCCATTCACATAAATCCTCATTTTTTAGGACAAAATGAAAAAAAATAGTCCCTGTTTGTGATGGATTTGCACACAAAACAAACATTCACACACAAACACAAATAAAACACACAGATCTGCCGTGGTATAAATCTATTCTAATATAATGGATACACTTACCTTACCTTCACAGCGAGGAGATCGATGGTTCTTCATGAGGAGATTGACAGAGGAGATCTGGTTCTTTGTCAGGAGATCGAAGGGGAAACCTCTTCTTCATCCAATCTTCTGGGCTTACATTGTAGAACACAAACGCAGAGGAGAAGAGAGAATCGTTCCTTCGAAGGGTCGATTGTGAGAAAGAGACGATTGAGAACGAATAAAAAAATACACAAAAAACCCATATTTATACTGTTATAAAAATAGTGTTATTTTGTTGCTAACAGGGGTCGAAGTGGAGACCTCATTAAACTCTTCCATATGTGTTTCGTGTTTCATGTGTTTCCTATAACACATTTTTTTTGTTCCCATTTTCCTACCTTGTTTTCAAGACAACTTGGATAAAACATAAAATAGAAATAAATACCAAACATGTTTTGGTTTGTTTTTGGTAAAATTTGAAAACAAAAACAAAATACACAAAACAAAAATACAAAACACAAAACAAAAACACCAAACAAACAACCTTTAAGTCATTCATAATAGAACATGAATTTTACTACCAAAATTTATATTATATTATATCATTTATTGTAATAAAATCAAAAATAAAAATTTAATTTTTCTTAAAAAATCATAATTATTATACAATTATATTATCGATTGAAATAAAACTCAAAAAATTAAGAAAGGGATCAAACTGTAATGAAAACAATATATTCTATCTTTAATTAAGGTAATTTTAGAGTTTAATTTAGTCGTTTAAACGACTAAATTAAATTCCAATAGATAATGTAATTGTATACTAATTATGATTTTTTAAGAAAAAATTAAATTTTAATTTTAATTTTATTTTAATAAATATCAAAATAGAACATAAATTTTGGTTATAAAATATAAAATATTTAATATTTTATATTTGATTGGAGCATTTTTAGTTTAAGTGTAACATTTTAAACTTGAAGAATTTAAATATTATAAAACCTATAAATTTTAGGTGGTCTGAATATAATTTATTAACGGATATAGTAACGGACATTGACAATAAGGGTTTAAATATTATGCGTGTATAAATATTAGAGGTCTGTGTGTAATATTTTAAACATTAAAGGGTCTGAATAATTAAGTGATAAAACTCAAAAGGTGTGAGTGTAATTTTCCCTTTTGATTCGTATCACCCTGTCAAGTATCAAGGTTATTTCCGTATTTTCAAAATCACAGAAAAGTCACCATAAGAATCCAACCCGCATTTTCATTGCATTCCGACGGGGTCACCCATTTAACCGCCATTTGTACGTACAGAAGAGGAGAGAGAAAGCAGAGAGAAAATGGAGGAGAGCGATGAGCTGAAGAGGAAAACTAGAGCAGCGTCAATGGCTACCGTAGAAAATTCTAAGTCTGACATTGCTGCGACCAATAATTCATCTAAAGCCAGAGAAGAAGGCGAGCTCTCTTCGTCTGACGAGGGCGTATGACTTTCTCAAACCCTAATTCAATTAGTATAGTTCTGCACTATGTGTTTATGTTCCTTAATTCACTCGATTTTTCTTATCTTCGCTGAAGTTTATGTTATCATCCGGTAATATCGATCACACAATATGTTTGTGTTTGTGCGAGCTATTTTTGTATCTTTTTGATAAATGGGCCACGTTTTTATGTTTCTTCTGTTAGAAGCGATTTTTATATTGTTTGTTGGGGGCTTTTTATGCTTTTTAATTTTTTTTTTCTCCATATGGAATGGTGGATTTCAATGCATTTGAAGCTATTTCCGTGAATAGAATAGTTGTTCATCACAAAAAAATTCCACGTTTGAAAAGTTTATTTTCTTATGCTTTGTTTGGTACTGTGGAAAAAAGGAAAGGAAAGGAAAATAGGTAGGATGAAAAAGTGGATGAAAATTTAATTATTTGTTATGAAATGTATGATGTTTACTATATGTATATATTCTATTTATCAATAATTCCGTATTGGAAGACACTTTGTAATACAAAAAATTGAATATTGATCTTATAACATTTAAAATTTATTTTATATTTTTTCTCTTCATTCACACAATTTAAAACTTAATGAACAAAAATAAAAAGTAAGAAAGTAGTGGAGTTGTCTAGCATTGAGGGTCATGCAATAAAATGATGTTTTTGAGCAAAAAAAGAAATTTTAGGAAGAATTTTGTACCATTAAATTAAAGTAGTTGAAAATCATATTAATCTTGACCATTATTGTCCGTTTATATGTTGAGAATTTAACTTCTTAGATGTAATATTAGATAGATTACATATTATGCATACATTAATTTCAATAAAAATATAATAATAAAATATGTATCTATTCTTTCACTTTTCCATCGTACCAAATACAGTATTGCAGAGGGTATCTTCTCATAGTTAGTAATCTAGAATGTGGGCGGAGTGTTTCTCTACTATCAGCTTATTAAAAAGTGCTCCCATGCACTGCCTTGCGGTGAAATCCCCTGCAAGCTTAATAGGACTGATAATTTTACTATTTTGAAATTGACCTGCTGAAAGGTCCTTATGACATAAATGTCTGTAAAACTGGGTCAGATTTTAGGTCGACTTTGGGGTGACCCACATTTGAAATGATTTATGTTTTTCAATACTAGCTGGTGCTGATGCTCATTCACTTTATATTATACTCTACAGAGTACATTGAAGCATTATACTGAGAATAGTTGCCAGGAAATGCCAAGTTCTGAGCACATAAAAGCAGCACATGGACCTAATTTGTTGATGAGCAGTGATTTTCATGAAATCAGATCTAGTGGCAAGGCACTTAAGCCCACATCGGATGATACATATCAGTCCTGCTCTTTCCATGTTCCAGATAACAACCTAGAGACCTCAAATGTATAAGACAGTTCTCAATTGTAGTATCATTACAGTGTTGAGTCCATGCATTTTGCTTCTGATGTCACTAATTTTTTTTTGGTTTCCTCTGTGGAAGGCATCACTAAAGAATGCAAGCATAGGGAATTGTTTGGGTAAGATAAACATGTCAGGTAATCACAGCATGGATATACAAGCAATATTGGACATTGAGGAAATGCAAGACAAGGAGCTGGAGGAAGCACAAGAGCACCGACGCAAGTGCGAAGTTGAGGAAAGAAACGCTTTTAAAGCTTATCGGAAGGCCCAGAGGGCTTTGATTGAGGCTGATGCTAAATGCTCTTATCTCTATCGTAGACGGGAACTATATTCAACCCATTTTCGAACATGTATGATGGAGGATTCAAGTTTGTTCTGGTCACTGAGGCCGCAGAATCATGTTGGAGGTGGGCTAAATTCGTTAAATAGCAGATCAGAAGTTAATACACATTCTGTACCCACATCAAGTCATCAAATGCAGGCTGAATTTGATGCTTATGATCAATGCCAAAATGATTTAAATATCCAATCTGTGACCGGTGCCCTTCAAAGTTTGTCTGATCGGTATGTGGAAGGTCAAAATATGGCTCCTGATCCATGCAGTGAGCCTGATGCTAGTACATCAGATCCTCTTAAAGACAATAGTGTCGCTGATGTTTTTTGCTCTCCCTCCGATGATGTAGACATATTGGCAGATGAGGATGAGGAGACAGTTTCATTTGACCATAAATCAGGTCAATTCAATATAGACCATCAGAAAGAAGAAGAAATTTATGAAGAACGGATAAAGGACACAAATGACAGACCAAAAAGAAGTTTTTCTATTGATAGCTGTCAGGATTCTTTGCTTCTTGAAGCCGCCTTGAGGTCTCAACTAGTCTCAAAACTAGGAAAGAAATCGTTGTTGGAAAAGAGGGGCCCAAATGGGAGCATGGAACCTGCAGTTGAAGGAGGGCCTGAAAATGATGATGTCAGGGGGAAAACGGAGAAGAATTTAGGGGACATATCATTCTCTGAGGCGGAGAAAGATCGATGTTCTGATCTTGAAGGTAGCACTGTCTTTTAAAGAAGTTTTTTAAGAGTCAGTTTTTTGGTATCTTCCTCTTAAGATTTATTCAGCTAGTGGTTTAAAAGGATATAGAGTTCAGAGATCTACTGAGATGTTGAGATGAAATCTATCAATCATATGGTCCTTTGATTTGTTTACATTTTTCTTGATATAAATTCGACAGTGTCTCTGCTGGGTCAACATAAAAATAAGTTGTTTTTTGGTCTTGTCTGCTCCTCGCAGTGTCTGGATGAAAGAGATTAGAGCACTTCACATGCCTTTTTTTGTGTTGTCTTCCTCTGTAGCATTAATTTCCTTTCTGTTAGCTTACAGCAATTTTTTTTGTCTGAGATCCCTGTCTTGAACAACAGAGGCTGCTGCATTGAGAAATCTTGCTTTATTAAGCATCTCTTTATATTACTAATCCCTGAGACGGTTGTTTTCTGTGCAAGGTCACCAATCAGCTATATTTTTGTCCCTCATTCTGAGGAGTGCCTTTCATCACATGAAGGTAGCAGACTCCAGTCATTTCGTTCAGTCACAAACTGGAAGGGAGGAGATTCATTCTTCTGATATAAATGGTAAAAAGGGAAATAGTGTTGGCTGTAATGAATACGAGCCAAGAATTTTGAACTCAAATTCAATCAAGGAGACCTCTATTAATATAAACGTTGGAGAAGTTGGTTCTTACACCTGCAATCTTGACATTGACCCATTTTGGCCACTTTGCATGTATGAACTCCGAGGAAAATGCAATAATGATGATTGTTGTTGGCAACATGTTAGAGACTACTCTAACAGAAATATGAACTATGATAAGTCTGACAACTCTGGTATGAATCCTCTTTTACGAATTTTGTAAACCTTAGTTGTAGTGTTGCAGTGTTTTTGAATGTCATTTTCTTGTGCAGATTGTCATGTTGGATCATTGCTGCACAAAGTGGAATTCGGTGGTGCAACAAATCTTTCTAAGTGTCTTGATTTTCTTGTTTTGGCTCCCCCAACTTACCTGGTTTGCCTGGATACTCTGAAAGCTGATTTGCATTCATATAAATCTGTTCTAGTTGAAGGTGTTGGACGGTGCTGGAAGAAGTGTTTTAGTGCTTCCTTTGTTCTTTCAAGTTTACTTCCAACAGATTTGCCTTCAGATGAGCCATTTTTGCATGGGACTGAAACTCGTGTTGAGGTCCATGGTGTTTGGAATAGGCGATCATTGTATTATCAGTGTAGAAATGGCGCAGTGGTTTGTCGAAGCATATCTCTTTTCTTGTTTTATGTTCCTTATATGCTATATTTTTCTCGTCATAGTTTGCCTTTTATTATTTTTCTCTTTCCTTTTCTTTTCTTATACTTTCTTTTTTGAATTAAAATATTATATTACCAAAGTTGAAAGATCCCATGGTAAGTCTACCTGAAATTTGAGTTCATGTCTCCCTCCAAACTGTTTTTTTATTCGATACTAATTGTTCGGATTACATTTCTCCTACTCTGATAGGTCTTTTAATCATGGAAGTTTCATTTGTCATAGTAAATTCGAATAACTGTTAAGGACTTGTATAAAAAAAGAAAAAAAAGAAAGGGTAAATTACACTCACATCCCCCGACATTTGGTTTAACTACACGAAAGCCCCTCACATTTCAAAAATTGCATTGACACCCCAATTTTTAAACGGCGTTGACAGAGTTTGTAAAAAGACAATTTTATTCTTTATTTAACTGGTAAAATTAATTGATTTTTTTTATTAAAAAAATATCCCCTCTATCTCCCCNTTTCCCATGGGAGAACAATTGCAATTTGAGTTCATGTCTCCCTCCAAACTGTTTTTTTATTCGATACTAATTGTTCGGATTACATTTCTCCTACTCTGATAGGTCTTTTAATCATGGAAGTTTCATTTGTCATAGTAAATTCGAATAACTGTTAAGGACTTGTATAAAAAAAGAAAAAAAAGAAAGGGTAAATTACACTCACATCTCCCGACATTTGGTTTAACTACACGAAAGCCCCTCACATTTCAAAAATTGCATTGACACCCCAATTTTTAAACGGCGTTGACAAAGTTTGTAAAAAGACAATTTTATTCTTTATTTAACTGGTAAAATTAATTGATTTTTTTTATTAAAAAAATATCCCCTCTATCTCCCCTCTCTGTGCTCTCCCTCAGTGACACCGTTAACCTTCCACCTCTACTTCCCATCTAGCCCCTGCCACCTTCTCCCCCACCCTTCCTCGTAGTTGCCTCTCCCCGCTTTGCAGGTGCCTTTGCAAACCCTAGGTGTAGATTTGAAACCCTAGGTGGTTCTCTCTCTCTTTTCTCTTTGGTGTCGGGTTTTGGATGTTGGAGATGGTGGCGTTGGTGGGTTTTCAACTGGTGGAGGCAGTAGTGGTTTTTGGATGGTAGAGGTGGTGGTGTTGATGGTGGAATCACAGTTGCCATCTCCTCTTTCTCCCTCTCTCTCTCTNTGGGTTTTGGATGGTCGAGGTTGTGGTGTTGGTGGGTTTTCAACTGGTGGAGGCAGTAGTGGTTTTTGGATGGTAGAGGTGGTGGTGTTGATGGTGGAATCACAGTTGCCATCTCCTCTTTCTCCCTCTCTCTCTCTCTCTCTCTTGGGTGGTGGCGGTTCTTGAGGCCCACAGTGGTTAGGTGGTGATGCCACAATTGCCTTAGTTAATGGTGTCTTAACAGGGAAAAATTTACTAATTAATTGGCTTAATTAATGGTCTCATAATTTAGTAACAATAGATTATATTTGATTTCAATGTGGTAGGTAAGCTTAATTAATGCAATCTATTATGTTGTGTAAGTTGATTATTTTTTCAATTGTTATTACTATGGAAATTCTATGAAAACTAGTTGATTAGATTTAGTAAATTANATCTCATAATTTTGTAACAATAGATTATATTTGATTTCAATGTGTTAGATTTCAATGTGGTAGGTAAGCTTAATTAATGCAATCTATTATGTTGTGTAAGTTGATTATTTTTTCAATTGTTATTACTATGGAAATTCTATGAAAACTAGTTGATTAGATTTAGTAAATTAATTTGAAATTTGTGGGAATTGATCAAATTTTGATTTAATTATGATAAAATTTAATGAATCGATTAGATTTAATAAATTAATTTAAATTTTTTGGAAATTGATCAAATTTCAATTTAATTATGATAAACGCATGCACTTAATATTGGAATAGATTAGATCTGATCATATTTTGGAAATAAATTAAGTTAATTAATGCACCATATTTTTTAAAATAAATTTAGATTTGTTGTTATTTATATAATTAAGTGAATTAGATTAGTATAATAAACTGAATTGAGTGTTTATATCACTATTTGTCAAAATTTTAAGTGAAGTGGGAGGGTACACTTGACATTTTACTGGGTTGATTGTAGTCTTTCACATTGCATAAGGGTATTTTTGGTATTATAATGCATTTTGTTGATGATGTCATCATTTCTGGTTATTTGTTCCCATGTCTGTCAGAAGAAAAGGGTGTTTGTGTCATACGTTTCCAAATGTCAAGGGGTCTCAGTACAATTTTTGAAATGTGAGGGGGTCTGTGTATAATTAAACTAAATGTCAGGTGGTGTGAGTATAATTTACCCAAAAAAAAAAAAAAACTCTTATAGACTACACATTCATGATTTTGTCCTAACTTTTCTACTTTTCTTCTTGTCTACTCAGAGTCAACTTGACCAACATTTGGCTGATGGTGAGTTATCCTTGGAAATGGCTCTCCTTAATCTGAATCAGGAGATTAATAAGCAAAAGGGCCGCATCGAGGTAATGTTGTGACTTGCATATGGAAATCAACTTACAGCATTCTAGTTCATTTATATATTCCTGTTTATGCCATGTTCTCATCATAATGAAAAATGCAGGCTCTTAAAGTGCTTGCTGGAGCTCTTGAGGCTGATCCAACATCTGTGGTTCTCTGGGTTGCTTACTTGCAAATTTTCTATAGCAATCAGACATCAGTTGGGAAGGATGACATGTTCCACTGTGCGGTATGTAGCTACGTTTCTTACTGTTGTTGAATGAAACTGCGGAAATTTTCTGCAATAGTGTAGCCCTTCCCTATTACTGCTGCTTTTAGTGCTATGTGGACACCACCAATACCTTAGGAACACTTTGCTGGCTTGCCCCATTTTGAAATTTGATCATTTTTCTTTTCAACTTGTTTCTGATGTCAAAGCCTGCTCATTTGCATTGTTTCCATGCCACCAATAAGTCAATTGGGAAGGATGACATGTTCCATCATGCAGTCTGTTATGATATGTCTTACTGTATTTGTATTAGGCATGCAGATTTTCTGCAAATGTAGATATCTCCCTATTAGTGCTTTGTTTGGGTGTTAAGTGGACTCTGATTACACCTGAGACCCCTGGTTGCGTTATGGTTTCTGTATGGCTGACCCTGATAATAGACCTGGTAATGACCATTGAGGTCTCTGAGTGGCTGTTTTACTTTGGGATTTGTTATGTTTGGCTCCAGTCCAATAAATGTATTGAGGAATGGACAAGATCTGGTATTCCTAGTGAGCCCTGTTGGAAGTAATCACCCGTATATGTACCTGTGGGCCTAGGCTCTGTTTTCAGCTTGTTTCTTGGGGCCAGCAAATTTGTACCGACTGTGTAGCTTGGTTGAGCGTGGTGCTTGAAACAAGCATACTACGTAATGATAGTATCTTGTACCTGAACCGGTGGCTCACTTTTTCTAAGTAATGGGGAAGAGGACCAAAACATTCCACTAAAAGACTCTATTGAGACAAAGATGGGCTGTCAAGAACGTTGAGGAGGTAGGATGGGCAGTTGGTCAGAGCTTTTTGAAAAATTTACTCACATGATCATAGGGTCTACCGAGCTGATTTCTCAGTATCTGCAGCTTATATGTGTGACAGACAAGCTGTGAAATGAAGTTAGATTTCTGTTTGATGACTTCTCAAATGAGCTTGAATATAGGGAGTACAAGCTGCTCATGAGCACGTAGGCTTACATGCATGCTTGCAGTCCGATGTGCCAAACTTGGGTTCCCTGCCTTGCTTTCAGATGATGGTGTGATGTATGGTTATATCTATGAAGACTTGTGGTGCCCCTATACTTGTTTGAGGCCAGTTAGAGTCTAATTAAAATTGGTGGTAAAAACTTTTTTAACATTAATACACTTATACCGAAGTATGAAATTTGTCATTTTTCATATTGGCTTCATTTTCATTGCTTTGATTGCTCGATTCAGATGACAATGGGATACAGACTAGGTATTCATTAACACAAAGAAATTGCGATATTATATTCTCTCTTGTTACACAACTGTTACATCCCTCATTCATGTTTTTGCAAGGACATTGAGCACCAGTGGGTGATTGTTTCTTATTTTTGATAGATGATACTTTCCTTTTCTTGTCCTCTTGGCATTACTTAATGAATTTCAACTATGTCACATCGAGAATTTGGGTTTTCTCCCTTTATGAGTGAGAGAGAGAGAGAGAGNCTTTTAGTGCTATGTGGACACCACCAATACCTTAGGAACACTTTGCTGGCTTGCCCCATTTTGAAATTTGATCATTTTTCTTTTCAACTTGTTTCTGATGTCAAAGCCTGCTCATTTGCATTGTTTCCATGCCACCAATAAGTCAATTGGGAAGGATGACATGTTCCATCATGCAGTCTGTTATGATATGTCTTACTGTATTTGTATTAGGCATGCAGATTTTCTGCAAATGTAGATATCTCCCTATTAGTGCTTTGTTTGGGTGTTAAGTGGACTCTGATTACACCTGAGACCCCTGGTTGCGTTATGGTTTCTGTATGGCTGACCCTGATAATAGACCTGGTAATGACCATTGAGGTCTCTGAGTGGCTGTTTTACTTTGGGATTTGTTATGTTTGGCTCCAGTCCAATAAATGTATTGAGGAATGGACAAGATCTGGTATTCCTAGTGAGCCCTGTTGGAAGTAATCACCTGTATATGTACCTGTGGGCCTAGGCTCTGTTTTCAGCTTGTTTCTTGGGGCCAGCAAATTTGTACTGACTGTGTAGCTTGGTTGAGCGTGGTGCTTGAAACAAGCATACTACGTAATGATAGTATCTTGTACCTGAACCGGTGGCTCACTTTTTCTAAGTAATGGGGAAGAGGACCAAAACATTCCACTAAAAGACTCTATTGAGACAAAGATGGGCTGTCAAGAACGTTGAGGAGGTAGGATGGGCAGTTGGTCAGAGCTTTTTGAAAAATTTACTCACATGATCATAGGGTCTACCGAGCTGATTTCTCAGTATCTGCAGCTTATATGTGTGACAGACAAGCCGTGAAATGAAGTTAGATTTCTGTTTGATGACTTCTCAAATGAGCTTGAATATAGGGAGTACAAGCTGCTCATGAGCACGTAGGCTTACATGCATGCTTGCAGTCCGATGTGCCAAACTTGGGTTCCCTGCCTTGCTTTCAGATGATGGTGTGATGTATGGTTATATCTATGAAGACTTGTGGTGGCCCTATACTTGTTTGAGGCCAGTTAGAGTCTAATTAAAATTGGTGGTATCAACTTTTTTAACATTAATACACTTATACCGAAGTATGAAATTTGTCATTTTTCATATTGGCTTCATTTTCATTGCTTTGATTGCTCGATTCAGATGACAATGGGATACAGACTAGGTATTCATTAACACAAAGAAATTGCGATATTATATTCTCTCTTGTTACACAACTGTTACATCCCTCATTCATGTTTTTGCAAGGACATTGAGCACCAGTGGGTGATTGTTTCTTATTTTTGATAGATGATACTTTCCTTTTCTTGTCCTCTTGGCATTACTTAATGAATTTCAACTATGTCACATCGAGAATTTGGGTTTTCTCCCTTTATGAGTGAGAGAGAGAGAGAGAGAGAGAGAGACCGGGGGGGGGGGATTTCTAAACTGCAGTGATCATAATTTTCAGATTTGATTGGACTTGGTGTACGGAGTTTGTTAATATTCAAATTTCCGATTCATGAGTTGTTGATAGCTGTTTATCTGGAAAGTAATTATTGAAATGGTTGAGCTCCTAAAACATGCTTAAAAAATGGACCAGATGATCATGAATGTGAGTAATTTTTTTCTTAAAAAAGAAAGGGTTTTGTTGTTTTGGTCATCATCCTGGAAGGATCTTTTGGCCCTTAGTAGGTCCTATATTTTACCTTAATCTATTACTTGTAATTAAAGCTGCTGTGTTGCAATGAAGCTACCATTGCTCTTGAAAGTATGCCAAAAGGGGGTTTTAGAGTTCTGAACTCTCTAGTATGTCATACTGTTTCCTCTTGTTTACTCCCCTTTTTGCTGAGTTTTCCCCAACACCTCAAAAAACTGTAAACTTGTGCTACTGATGAAGTTTGGTTCTCTTCGGTAGCTCATCAGTTTTCACTGGTAAGGAAGGGCATTAGGAGTTAATGATTTATGGATAAGATGGTATTTCTTGGGAAATTGAACACTAAAGAGGGCTGATTTGCGGGTTCAAGTCTGCATCCTTGGTTGCAAATAAGCCAGATTATTAATTTCCGAGTGCTTTGATTGGATGAATTTATTTGATTCAGTCTGATTTGAATTTGGATGGGAAAGAAGTATGGCAGCTCATGGCCCTCTCTCTTGTTATAAGTGGGCTACCAAATGATGACATTAATAAAAAAAAAAGTAGAAAAAGTAGGCAACCACTTTTATTTTGAACTTTGCTGCTACTTCACTTTTTTCCTGTGGTTAGATTCTTGATGTATATTTGTTTTTCCTTGATGGAAGTTCTTGATTCTTATTAAAAAAAAGAAAAAGAAATAATTGGCAACTAATTGATGAAGCTACATTGTCCTGAGAGGACTCAGATCCCCTCCAGCACCCCATTCCACTAATTCCCTTCAATGCTATTATAGATAACTGACATGTGGCAAACAATGCAATTAAAGGGCCAGATCTTGCCACCTGAACTGAAAACTTAACCGTGTGTTGTTAAACAAGTTCTACGTCCATCTCGTCACTCTCGCAACCGGTGATTCATAGGAGAATTTTTCCAGTAAGCAACTTGAAACATCTTATGTTTCAAAATGTCTTTGTTTTGCCCAGTCGAGAATTGGCACCTGTAAACTGCTCCATCAACATTTTCGAAGCCCCCTCTTAGAAAATCCCCCTATTTGGAATCACTCTCAATTTTATTTTTGTAGTTTCATCCAATAGTTCCAATCCGTAATTTCTGCAATTCACCCCCTCAAATGAAGCACGAACAACCTATAACTCACCTTTTCAAAATCTTAATCGCAAAGACCTCTTAAGGTGCTACACTGCTCACGGGGAAGCACTCAAACCTTTTAAAAATCAGTGTCGTCTTCTATTGCGGCAGCGACTAGCGGATTGAGGCTGTACAAGGTGAACTTGGAACTTCTTGAAGAATAATTTGCTGATTCATGCTTGATTGAGACTGATCTTTTATGCCTAGACCGATGAATGAGAGTCGAAGTATTTTGTTGAGGACCATTTTAAGCAATTCATGAAGGGTCTATTTATTTCTTGCGGAGTTTCGTTTGTGTCTATCTTTCTCTCCTCATTGTTCCGTCAACTTGTTTAACCATGGTTAGGATTTTGGTGGAAGTGGCAAGATCCTGTCTGTCAATTCTGTTATTTGCCACGTGTCAGTTATCTANAGAATAATTTGCTGATTCATGCTTGATTGAGACTGATCTTTTATGCCTAGACCGATGAATGAGAGTCAAAGTATGTTGTTGAGGACCATTTTAAGCAATTCATGAAGGGTCTATTTATTTCTTGCGGATTTTCGTTTGTGTCTATCTTTCTCTCCTCATTGTTCCGTCAACTTGTTTAACCATGGTTAGGATTTTGATGGAAGTGGCAAGATCCTGTCTGTCAATTCTGTTATTTGCCACGTGTCAGTTATCTATAATAACATTGAAGGGAATTGGTGGAATGGGGTACAGGAGGGGATCTGAGTCCGTCCTGAGAGTGCTTGACGGCATCAATGCATGTTCATTACTCATAAGGGTTAACAATGGTTTTACACTAGTTTTTATGCTACCTAATTTAATTTCCCTCCTTTATTTGGGCTTGGGACGGGCTGCATAAAGTATGAAGGCGACTAACCATGATGTAGGAAGCTTTTGTACTTTTTCAGGCTTCTCTTCATGTTTGAGGCTTTATTCATGAGAACCTAGTTATTGCTAGAATGTGATTTCGGAACTATTTGAATTGCTTATAAAGTTCAATGAATATTTATTTAGTGTGTTGCCTCTCTTGATAGTTCCAAGCTTCTTGCTTGTTTGAATTTTTGTTTGAGAGTTGTCGTACCTCTTGGGCTTGGTTTTTGGGTTATTTGAGTAACGAACAAGCTCAAAGGCTCTAAGGATATTGATATGCATGTGGTGACATGAGAAAGCAATGGAGTCAACTCATTTTATTTGCACGTGAAAAATATTCGTGCTTGATGTTGACTGTGCTGATGCTCTTGATATTTTTATGATAAAAAACATTGGTTTGGTTTAGGCTACCAGTTACTTTGTTTTTGTGTTATTCTCTACGGTAGAAATTATTGTTTTCAATTACTTTATCCTCCAGGTCGTACACAATGATGGATCCTATGAACTCTGGCTCATGTACATTAACAGTAGAGTGCAAATTGACAATAGGTTGATTGCATATGATACTGCACTCTCAGCACTTTCTCGCCACTCATCTGCCTCTGACGGGGATGCTATGCATGCAAGCGAGTGCGTCTTGGACCTTTTTTTGCAGATGATGAATTGTTTATGCATTTCTGGGATGGTTGGGCAGGCATTTGAGAAAATACATGGACTATTCCCCTCATCTAAGAAATCTGATGAGCCTTATTCTCTGTTTCTTTCTGATATCCTTGCTTCCTTAACCATTCGTGACAAATGTATCTTCTGGATATGTTGTGTATATTTGGTTGTGTATGAAAAACTGCCTGATGCTGTAGTACAGCAATTTGAATGTCAGAAAGAACTCTCTGCAATCGAGTGGCCTCTTACTGACTTAACAGATGACAGGAAGCAGCTAGCAGTTAGACTCATGGAAAGGGCAGTGGATTTCCTTGCTTTGTATATTGATTGTGACTCACTTGAAAATGAACCGACTCTAGGAGCAGCAAAATGGTTTGCTGTCAACCACATCAGGTGTATAGCGGTGCTTAAAGGCTTAGAATGTAGTAGAAACTTGTTGGACAAATACAACAAACTGTACCCGTCTTGCTTAGAACTTGTTTTGATGTTAGCACGCACACGAGAACATGGTTTGTTGGATCCAAGTTTTATAGGATTTGAAGAGGCTCTTGGTAACTGGCTGGAAGGAGTTCCTGGAGTGCAGTGCATTTGGAACCAGTATGCTGAATGTGCACTCCGGAATGGCAGATTTGATTTTGTACAAAAACTAATGGATCGATGGCATCACTCAGTTTGGGAAGTTCAGTGTGCTCAGTGTGGTGTTTCAGATACCATGGATGCTCAAAACTCCAACAGCTCACCAAAAACGTTTCCAGCAGGAGACCCTGATGCTTGGATTTCTGTCTCTAGCAAAGTTGATGTTGTGTTTGGGCTACTTAATCTCTCTCTACATAAGCTTTTGCATAATGATCCCTTTGAAGCACGTCTAGCCATGGACAGAGCATTGGAGGAGGCTGCCTCTGAGGATTATAGACATTGTGTGAGAGAGCATGCCGTGTTTTTGGTGAGGGATGGTTCACAATTTAAGAAGGATGATCCTATCAGTAAGATAATAACCATCTTGAATGGTTATGTAGTCGATGAGCGGGCTTTCCGTGCCTCCAAACCATTGTCCAGAAAGTACATTCAGAGCATAAAGAAACCGAGAGTCCAGCAGCTAGTCGGCAGCCTATTGAGTCCGTTGTCAACTGATTTTTCTTTGGTGAACTTGGTTCTTGAAGTATGGTATGGCCAATCTCTCTTACCTGAAACATTGAGTAGAGTAACGGATCTGGTGGATTTCATTGAGGCCGTCATGGAGATTCTGCCATCCAACTATCAGCTAGCAATTTCTGTCTGCAAGCTGCTAAGCAGAGGCTCTAACTCTGGCGATGTTGCTGCCAGTGTTTCTTTCTGGGCAAGCTCACTCTTGGTACATGCACTCTTTCAGGCTGTTCCAGTAGCACCGGAATTTGTATGGGTAGAAGCAGCATATGTTTTGCATAATCTGACACATATCCATTCTATCTCTGAGAGTTTTCATAGGAGAGCTTTAGACGTATATCCATTCTCCATCAAGCTGTGGAAATCCTATCTCAACGTATCAAGGACTACGGAAAATGTGAGTTCTGTTATAGAAGGAGCGAGAAAAAGGGGGATCACACTGGATTAATGATGATAGTACCTTCCAACAAAAAAATATGAAGGTAGATGGGTTGGTTGCATTGGCGTTGGCTGAAGCAAATTTTGGGGCAATTTTTGCTTGGTAGTGTTTGGGGGAGGCCGGCCTTGGGTTCCCTTTGTTAATGATACCCATTGTTTGTACCAGAATATGGAATTTCGAAGGCATAGAAGACAGTAACTTCCAAGGTATACCGGATAATCAAAAGGTTTTCTTACTCACAATTTTGGAGTATAGGTTTGTAGATCAGACATAGTGCTGTTGTTTGTCCTATCCCCCC